CCTGAAACACAGCAAAGAGGTTAAAGCAGGGTTGCAGGAACCAGAAAGCCCCATAGTGTATTTCGTTTACCCTTTGACGTCAAGCAGTAACAGCTGTTAGGGTCACGTGCGTCCCTATTATTTTGGGGTGGGTTTTTTTTTGCATTTTGTGTGTGTGTGGGGGGGGTGCTGGAACCTGGAAGTCATGGCAACCTCTGGTGACTCCTACTGGGGCATGGAGCATGTTCAGAGAAGTGGCTTGATAGCCTGCCTCCGCCTCCCGGCCCTGGTATTCTTTGGATGATAAATGATAAAGCATTTGTCCAGACTGTTATTTGTTTGGAAAAGGGGGGGGGGATAAAACATCAAAAAAGTTTTACACCAAAGAGAAGGCGATATTTTAAACCCAAGTGCCAGGGCAGCAGGGGAAATGCGACATCTACCTGTGATGGTGTTGGTGAACTGGCAAAGCAAGAAGCGGGAGGAAGAGAAAGACAAGGGTTGTACTTGGCCAAACTCAGCCCTGGGAGTGTTATCCGTACCTCTGGTTCAATGGTGACTGTATGGCCCCACAAACAAAAATAATTTTTTTGTGTCATTCAATTCCAGATTGGAAGTACATATATTACATTATTTATAGTAAAATGTGCATTTTTAATACTGGATGGGATTTTTCAATTTGGTAATTTAATATTAATCAAATATTTTTTATTTCTCCAATACAGCATTCTATTTTTGGTCCTGTATCAATTGTTTACTGCCTTACAAGTGTAACGGGGGCTTTGTGGTATGCTGTATTCTGTACTAGAAGGCTCTTGTGGACCAAAACGCATCAGGTCATATATGGTTCTTTTTGTATATTTGTCACTTTGATTATTTTATGAGGCTTTATTTAGGCCCCTACAAGGTTTGTATATGTTTCTGAAATAATTGTGTACTTTTGTCCATACCTATTGATATTTTTAACTTTTGGCCCTTTACTAGTGTTCTAAACGTCCTTTGGAGATTTTTGGTTGGGTGGTTGTATGGGTGCAACAGGCGACTTGTTGCAAGTGCTAGAATCTAACACGTACAGCTACTGAACTAACCCGTTTGCCTGTCAGCACCTAGTACTACCACAACTGGCATGAGAGGCTACCTTTTTCCTCCTTAACTTTTTAATTTTTTTTAACACCTGCCTGATGTGGAGGCACCCAAAAGCTTTCAGAATATTTTGTGTCATTTTAGTTGGCCTGAACTGACAGGTTTTGCATGGATTTAGTTTCTTGCTCTAGATTGTGTATGGGCCAATAAGGTGGCCTGCAACTTGGGTTTGTTTGCAACAATGGGTATCAACCACGCAATTAATTCCTCTGATCAGCATCTCAGGAGGCTTGTCTTGGGCAGCTGTGTAGGTCCAGGAGGTGGTGATGGCATAAGCCATGCCTGTTGCATTCTCCCAGGCTGCTGGCAGCACGTCAGGGGCTCACCTCAGTTTCTTGGGCAGAGATCCAAGGGCTGAGTAAAATGCTCTGGTGTGCCGTTTGTCACTGGTGCTGAGGGTTCGTATCTATCCCTGGTCTACATGTGAATGCTAAAGCCTTCTGGATGCGATGTCCTAGTCACCTCTGCTGGGGCTATATCCCAGTGATGGAAATTTCAGTTATTGAGAAAACTTTTAATTGCTCAATTAATTAAGTTTGCAAAAACTTGCAAATGAATGTTTTAAAGAAAAATGCAAGCTGTGTGTGTGTGTGTGTGTGTGTGTGTGTGTGAGAGAGAGAGAGAGAGAGAGAGAGAGAGAGACAGACAGACAGACAGACAGCATTCTTTAAAAAGCATTCTTTCTTGTGAGAGAAGTAGAGAAATGTCTTTTCTAAGATGGCACCTGCTTTCTGTAGCTTTTATGGGGACTTCACACTTTTTAAAAAGTGCTCGTCACCGAATATACTGGTAAAGTAGCTGGTCACCATGAGGGAAATGAAAGCAGTCAAGGGGACTCAACCTACTCGCATGCCTACGGGTATGTGGAAAATTATGTCTTTGAACATTTTTTTTTAAAGGATGGCCTAAAAACATCATCCTCAGGACTGCCCTCAGGAGGTATGGAAGAAAATTTGTCTTAGCCTGACTTCAGGCACGTTAAGGGCTGGATGAAGAGGTCATGTAGGCAAAAAGGGAATGTGTTTATGCTGAACCACAGCAGTGAGTAATGCTTGAGAGAACTGGTTTGAAGTAGCCTGTATGCCAGCTACAGAGAAATTTAGAAGAAGTCTGTCAGGAATGGAAAATGTCACTCTTAAGTTAATGTTACTCTTAAACTGAAGATGCTGAGGGACTATAAATATGGTTGGATGAGGTAACACCGCCCCCACCCCCAGATTCTCCTTCTGCTGTCTCCTACGATCATACAATAAATAATTTCAACAGCTTTGGAAATTCTTTCATCAAATAAGGGCCTGTGGCTCGGTGGCAGAGCATCTGCTTGGCACGCAGAAGGTCCCAGGCTCAATCCCTGGTACCTCCAGTTAAAAGATCTGGTCGTCGGAGACTGGAAAGACCTCTGCCTGAGACCCTGCAGAGCTGCTGCCAGTCTGAGTAGACAATACTGTGATGGACCTCAGGGTCTGATTCACTATAAGGCAGCTTCATGTGTTCACCTGATATTTAATATAGTAGCAAAGAATCAATTAAAGAGGGAGAAAGGCAGCCAGGGTGGGGGGAGAATTCAACCAGCTCCAGCATCTCAGAGGGGGAAGTTTTCAAACTGTTTCCCCTCCCAGATAATATTCCCATCTTGTCCAAGTGACTTATCAACTAGCATCCAGTGGACGAACTCGACACTCACCACTTCAAGAGTTGTTTGTTTGTATTCATGTTCTGGTTTTCGTCGCCCATGAGATCGAGGACAGCGCCTGAAGCCTGCTGGTCAAAAGTGCTGCCTTCCCCGCTGATGCTGAGCCTGGTCCCAGAGAAGGAGGTCAGAAAAGCAGCCCCTGCCAAGATGGACCCACCCACCCCACTGCCCTCAACATACCCACGCTCGGAATCAAAATCCTTTGGCCGGTAAGGGATGTAGAATTCCTCATCTCTCTGAGTCACCTGTTTCCTCTTTTTCCCTGTGCCTGGTCCCACCTGGGGTTGCTTCCGCTTTCTTCCAACCACGGAGGCAAAGATCTCCTGGGGCAGAAGAGTTAAGACTGGTGAGTGACTCTTCCCTGGTCAAGGACATGAGCCAGCTCTACTGACTTCACAAGGCCCCCAAACACAGCAAACTGTGTCACACACAAGGCTCTGGGCCTGCACTTCTCTACACACAGATGAGCGGGTCACCCTAGAAGGAGCTACAAAGAGGTGCTAGCTAGGACATCCGCTGGCATTCTTCCTAACTGGGACTGTGCCCGTGCCGTGATTTTCTCCAAAACTCTGGAAAAGCTGCCAAAAGCAGTAGTGGTCATAGAATTGAGCTTCTTGAAAATGATGCTTCTCTTCATTCTAATTTGATGCAAGTTTCTAGTCCTTGTTAAAAGCAACTTTCTAGCCCTTATTAAGGGGCACGAAGACAATCACTGGTTGAACTGCATGAGAGCAGCTGCTGAATCAGTATTCCCGGTGATCAGAGGGCAGGGATTCTGTGTCTTACACTTGCATCCTTTGCAATGAACAACAGAAGCAGATTCCAGTCCTTCAGAGGAAGGAGTCCTGCAGATTCGGTTAATTTAGACCAGTTTCAGAATTCAGTTTCTATCATTGCGGAATCTGCAACATCTTTGGTCCATTCGTTGTTGAGCCCAAGCTACACACAGCCTTGTGCACAACCCACAGCCTTACCTGAAGGCTTTCTTCCTCCTCCTCAGAGTCTTGCTTGGCGGCCACTGGCACAGCCGGATCTCGGACCTTCTCTGCCGCCAAGGACAATCTTTCTTGCTGCTTCCTTTGGTGACGGTCAATGAGCTGCCGGTCGCGGCTTCGTTTGGCTCGCATGATGTCACTGGCCGACGTCTTGTTGGTAGCGTTGATTTCAAAGATAGTCTGATGCACAAAAAAACCCCAAAAACCTGTGAACAATGGGGGCAGAGAAGACCTCCTGCCTATTAATCTGCACCAGACAAAGCTGGAGGTTCCCAACTACTCTCCCAGGAGGTATGGCTAAGTTCCAGTACTACCTTTATAATCCTTCCTTTCCAAATGGCTGCAGATGTTTTCCCCCACCATCACCATTTGAGATCCTTCAAGGAGCTCATAGTGGTACATATAGTTCTCCCTGGCCCATTTTATCCTCACAACAACACTGTAAGGTAGGTTAGGCTGAGAGAGTAGGACCAGCTCAAAGTCACTCAGTGAGCTTCATGGTTAAATAGGGATATTTAAATACAATTAAACTGGGGAAGTCACATCCACTGGTTGTAGTGATGATGACCACGAGTGCAGACAACTTTAAAAGGGGGATCATATTAATGGAAGGTTAATCTGCACCAGACAAAGCTGGAGGTTCATTTCCCAACTACTCTCCCAGGAGGTATGGCTAAGTTCCAGTACTACCTTTATAATCCTTCCTTTCCAAATGGCTGCAGATGTTTTCCCCCACCATCACCATTTGAGATCCTTCAAGGAGCTCATAGTGGTACATATAGTTCTCCCTGGCCCATTTTATCCTCACAACAACACTGTAAGGTAGGTTAGGCTGAGAGAGTAGGACCAGCTCAAAGTCACTCAGTGAGCTTCATGGTTAAATAGGGATATTTAAATACAATTAAATTGGGGAAGTCACATCCACTGGTTGTAGTGATGATGACCACGAGTGCAGACAACTTTAAAAGGGGGATCATATTAATGGAAGGTCCACCTATGGATACTAGCCATGGTGGTCCAGCCATGGTGGTCCAGCCATGGTTACTAAAGGGAAACCTTCATCTCCAGAGATAATAAACCTCTGAACACCAATGCTAGAAGCCAGCATCAAGGGAGGGCTTTGGCATCTATGGCTTTCCAGGGCAGCTTGTTGGGCAGGGTATGAGACAGGGCGCTGGACTACATGGACCACTGGTCTGATCCAGCAAGGCTCTCATGATGGTATGAAATTGGGGCTCTCCATGTCCTTGTCCAACACTTTCACCTCTATACCACACCGGCTTTCTCAACATGGTTGTGCTTGACTGTAATCTCCAAAAACAGGTTATGCAGATAGGGTCAGGCTCGGTTCTTAATGACAGTGGTCACCACGGGGGCGGGTCTAGGTTTCCATTCCCCTGCAGTACCCAGTATCACCCCCTTGCTGTTCATCTGTGGAAACCAGTGACGGTTATTCCTTCCTACCCTACCTTAATTTAAACCCAGAAGTGTATTTAAGACCAAAAATGCTCCTAGCTACCCTGACGATGACTGAGAGGCCTGGCATCCACTGACACATCTCCCTGTGCCAGGGGTCCCCAACATGGCGCCCGTGTGAGCCAGGGTGCCTGCCAAGTGCTTTAAGAAAGCGGGTGGGGCCAGGTGAGGCTTTTGACCAGCAAGGCTTCTGATTGGCTGAGCAGATTTTTTAAAAATGTTGCTTTGGCAGCAGCTGCCATCACAGCACAAGGATCTTCCCTGTGTGACTGAAGGTAAGCCGCCAGAGCCATTTTGTGGCTGGCTCTGCTTCCTGCAGCAGCCGTTTTGTGGCTGTACCAACCCTGTTGTGTCAGAATTCCAAAAATGCCCGCAATCTCAAAAGGGCTGGGGACCCCCTGCCCTATGGATTCTGCCACATGCCTGTGTGCACATACCCACACCTTTCCTTTTCTATCGGATTCATGGGCAGTTTGTTAGTAAATAATGAAGGTGCTGATGAAATTCAGCTGAAGGAGATACCAGGAAAGAAAGTTCCATTCGTTTATGTCAACACCCTTGAAGACAGAAAGCAACCTTTTGTGGGGCCAGTTTGCAGTGGCCAGTCCTGCCATTTCACCTTGCTCAGCTTTCCCATGAGACTGGGAGCTGGAAGACAGGCAGGGACTGACAAGAGGGCTCGCTGCTGCACTCACCGCTCTGGAACGGTACGTTTTGATGCTGTCCACGAATTTCAGCCTCTCTATCTCATCCCCCTCAAAGCGCAGACCTTGAGAGAGAGAGGGCAAAGCAAAGGGGGTCATTGAGTATTTTAGGCCAAACAGAAATCACTGGGTAAAAACATCCAGGAGAGGCCTACAGTAAATGCTGATGGGCTATTTTACTATATAAAGGGACTTTTGCCCACAGGAAGGGCAGAATATTCAACCATATGTCCCCCCGCCCCATCCTCTGCTGTCCTGCAGTCCAGAATTCCACCAGCTGCAGAATTCCAAGCCATTCATGAGAGAAAAAGCCACAGAAGCCAAGAGACTGGACTCTTGCCACTCCGTCTGCTCCCCGCCAAAGGCCCCAGTTATTTCACCCTCACTCTATGGACAGAACACGCACTGAATAGAGGATGAATGCCCAGAAGAGAGAGGTCCATTTCTTTGACTCTCTTGATGGATTCTGGTGACGGACTTGGCCGTGACTTCAGGTATTGTTTCTGAGCGTTGTCGGATACTCGCTGCAAGCTCTGCAGTTCCAGCGAGCGCTCATGGTCTGTCTGCAAGAGGCTCTCCTCATCATCGATGATGCTCTGGGGGACGCGACCAAAGACGCCATCCGTATCTGAAACAGGGATGATGAAGAAGAATGGCCACAGAGCCCAGAAACGGAGGGAGTGGGAAATATCCAGCCTCAGGAGCAAAGTGGTCACCACCAACCAGAAGTAATGCCAGGGCCTGAGGGAGGCTTGGTGGCAAAACGCCAATGGGCAACCTACAATTAAGAATGTGCCAACTTGTATGCAAGCTTGGAGTTCATCAGTCTGAAGATTTCAGGTTGTGTGCTGAAGTTCCCTTGGAGTGAAAGTTTAAACTAAAAAACATACCAGCTATGCCTTGCATATGGTGAAATTTTGAAAGCTAGAGGGGGTCTCTAATTCTCTATATGTCTAGGAGGAACACATGCCAAACAAGAAAATTAATGAAAGCTTGCTTACTCTATGTAAACAAAATGCAGAATTCATATTTCCCTTCGTTACAAATGTGTATGCATTTTTAGCAAGAAGGGAGAGATGTGGGCTCACTGCCCCGTCTACTAATGCCAGTTCCCACAGGAGTCTTAAAGATCCCTGCATGACTAGAAGCCTCTGTGGACTGCAGCAGCTATCGGGTCCAGCAGCTGTTTCAGGCAGTCAGGAAGCCTCATTCCAGCCGTATTGCTATGCTACCATTGCCATTACTACCCTCACAGCCTCCAGCAATGTGGACATCCATCTTGCAGCAGAGAAGCACCAGAGTCACACCAGCAGGCTGGCAGAAACACTGAGATTCTATGCAGTAACCTTATAATCAGTCCACAAACGTTACTTGCTTACAAACATTTTTCGTTGCTAGCCCATTTTAGTTGCTCATGGCCTAGCGGCCAGAGTTCCTCTGCTGGGAGCAAATATTATGTGCTATAGCTGAGTCACAGTTTACAACCCTACCATGTGCCTTTCCTGATGATGCATCCCTCCCTTTCATGCCACAGCTTGGGAAAGAGAGCTGAGCCACAGTTTACAACCCTACCATGGGCCTTTCCTGATGATGCATCCCTCCCTCCCTTTTATGCCACAGCTTGGGAAAGACAGTCACCCCCACCAGTCAGCCACCCTGGCCAGCAGATTACCTACCTGTGGGCTTCTTGTGGGGACTGGCAAGGAGAAGGGGACGGCCCAGAAACAGGTGCAAATCAAAGACGTAGGGAGTCTCATCTGGTGCCACCAAAGAGTAGGCTGTTCCACTCCTCCCAGCACGTGCTACTCGGCCTAGGGTGGAAATAAAAGAGTGTCAAATGCAGAATGTCATTGGGAACATTTCAAAGGCATGGTGGATTTCCCTCCACTTTCCCCCTCCACTTGTAGTGGATGTATTACACTGTCTTTGTCTCATTTTTCTCCAAGTACCATATCCGGCTCCTTGGATCCTGGGATTTGTGACATCCAGGCTGTTGCTTGTGTGGCACTGTTTACATTCCACTGTTCTTTGGCCCAGTCTTATTGCACTATTTGTTGTGCATATTACAATGGTCTTTTGTGCACTGCTCTTTTAACTCTGTGATCTGCCTTGAGCCTCAATGAAAAAGACGGAAAATAAATGCGGTAAATGGAGTAATAAACTTAAGTATGTCCCAACCTTAAGAAAACAAAAACAAAAACCTCAAGGGGCTTTCCATAAAGAAATCAAGAGTTTTTTGGATTGTCTGGCTGCTTTCTTGGGTCAGGATTCAGGTGGGGTAACAATGGGTTGATCATAAGCCGATTAACCCATTCCTTTGAGCAGCTTGTGGAAAAGGATACCATAGGGAGAGATCCGCTATAAGCTGGGCAAAACTATGTTACGTGGACAATGGCAAAATATGGGGCGTCCTCATCTGGATAGGGAGCTGCGGTGGCTCAAGTGGTTAAGATGCTGAACTGCAGGCTGTGGAAGGTCAGTAGTTCAGCAGTTCGAGACCCGGGTGCCACATGACGGAGTGAGCTGCCATCTCTAGTTCCAGCTCCTGCCAACTTAGCAGTTCGAAAGCAAGATATTGCAAGTAGATAAATAGGTACTACTTCGGTGGGAAGGTAACAGCGTTCCGTGCGCCTTGGTTTTTAGTCATGCCGGCCACATGACCACGGAAACGTCTTCGGACAGCGCTGGCTCTTCGGCTTTGAAACGGAGATGAGCACCGCAACCCTAGAGTCGGATTCGACTGGCTTTCGAGCAAGGGAACCTTTACCTTTTACATCTGGATAGTCCCAGTTAGTCCGATCTTGTCAGATCTTGGAAGCTAAACAGAGTCAACCCAGGCAGTACTTTGGATGGGAGACCACCAAGAAAGGCCGGGGTTGCTATGCAGAGGCGGGCAATGGCAAAGCCACCTTGGAATGCCTGTTGCCTTGGAAACCCCACGAGGGGGCACCATCAGCCAGCTGTGACTTGATGAAAATGGTATGCACCTAAAACCAGAGGTACCTGACAACAGTTTGAGAACAGAGCTGCTTGCCACAGTATTCTAGCCACAATGCTGGTCCTATCAAAGATACTGAGAAACTTCTCACTGAACCAGATCAGTCTTTTGCAGCCATCTGTTCTAGTTATGACTACACCAATGCTCTGCTTCTCAAGTCCATAAGGGCTTGTTAGTAACCTCCTAGTTACATTTGCCCATGGCTGTGTGTACACTTAGGATTCTGCAGCAATCTTACAAAAACAACTTTTTCGAGATCTAACTTAGCCTGCCTGCTATTTTCCCCCTCTCCAACAAAGAGGGAGAAACACGACTTTTGAATTTTCAGTTGTCTGGCTGTGAGCCTGCTTCGCTACAGGAATCCAACGATGCTTCCACAGTAGCATTTAGTCTGGAGGTGTTCATTTCATTTCTATGGAGAATCCGGACATCAGTCAATCTGTTGCACATTTCAGAGTTCTGTGCTGCCTTTCAGGGGTCCCCCCCCCCACAATATTATTCAATTATTTAAAAAACCCTTAAAATGCAGTTGCAGAGCGAAGCGACCCACTGTGAGCAGCAGTCACAAGTGCTACTGACATTTCTCAGAGTTAATGTCCCTCTACATTTTCCTTCGGTTTCTCAAACTTCCTGTTTTTTTCCCAGCCAGCTCTCACACATTTGTGTCTCAAATGTAAATTATCAGCTGTCATTGGTAGGGGGAGGAGAGGAGGGCTAAAGTACTGCTTTTCAGTTTCTAGCCTGCCAAAGCCACTGCTCATTTTTTTAAAACTTACGATCATCACTCACTGATTGCACTATACCCAGAAATAAGAAAATTCAAAATAATTATGACCTGAGTCATAAAATAATTATGGCTGAGTCAGAAAGATGGCTGTGTCGTGTGCCTTCTCTCAGTATCCCGGTATCCCTCAATATCACCCCTCCATTTCCTGCACACTTTGTACGCAGAAGGTCCTTTTCATCCTGGGCATCTCCAGTGGAAAAGAATACTGCTAAAATCCACTGCCCAAGAATACAGAGTCACTGTTTGCCAGAGAAGGCAGCATGGGGCTAGTCTGACGGAATAAGGCAGCTTCACAGATTAACACACATAAGGCTCCAGGCTCAGGTCAAGGCCTCCAGAACTCACCCACACGGTGCAAGAAGAGCTTGGCCTTGGCAGGGAAGCTGTAGTTGATCACATTGTCCAGCAGGGGGATGTCAATCCCACGGGCGGCCAAGTCAGTGACAATCAGCACCGAGCACTTGCCATGGGTGAATTTGCCGATGTTAATCTTGCGGGCTGTCTGGTCCAGAGAGCTGTAGATGTGTGTACATTCCACACCCTGCGCCGTCAACAGCTGTAGAGAGATCAGCAAGTCAGTAGGTCCAACTTCCTAACACCAAAACAAGCTCAGCAATGCTCATGTTTCTCAGCCCTCTGTGGAAACAGAATTGGAGTGAACTGAGAATTTACCTTTTCATTCCCCCCCCTTTAAAGAAGCCATGTTTCTAGTCCTCATGGCTGTACAGAAGAATAATAGTTTTAGAAGCACAACCCACTGGTCTTTGGCAGATTATGCCATTTCCACAAGGAATCCTTAAAAGCTATGCTAATGAAGCTGCTTTATGCAAGCAATTTTAAAGGCAAAATATCGAGTGCAGGTATGGATCTTTGATCACTGAAGCACGGTCCATGGCAAAGTAGCTCACAATACAAGGAACTCCACTCTCTGAAAAGATTTCACAAAGCTTTTCTTCCCATGTACAGGTGCTGTGGCACAATTTCAGCCTGCAGGTGCATCTTGTGATTGAACGTGTGTCCAACAGCTTTACCCCAGAAGCAATCCATCCTGCAAGACCCCACCTGCAATCTGAGGTGGTACACAGGTGAGCCCATCCGCTGCTCACCAGAACAGACCCACAAGGCTGCCACTTGGCCCTCCTCTAACATAGGAAATACGGCGAGAGCCGGTTCAGTAGCTGAAGCGGTAGGGAGGAAATCAATCTCGGGATAACTCCGCCCCCCTCTGCAAGCTGAACAGCTATTGGCTCTCCATCTTCACACTCCAGCCCATTAGAGATAGAAAACTAGAAGCTAATAAACAGGTACTGGCATTCAGGTGAAAGAAGTGGCTGAGACCTGACTTGGAGAAATGGACTGCACAGCTTCCAACTGCAGGGGGAGGAGCCCATTTTGGGCTGCAAGGAGAGGTGAGTAACAGCTTGCTCTGAGCTGTGGTAGTTCTTTGTCTGCAAGTGGCATTTTATGCAAAGGAGTGTTCTGAGCTGCAGCAGTACAGTCCATTCTGTCATCTCACCTTTCTTTTTTTTAAAATATTTTTATTAATTTTTTCATAAACAGATTTCAGTAGTATAACTTTGAACATATTTCAATAACTTTGCATACTATTTATCATGTAGTGTTTTGGATATAACTTTCATATATAGACAATAACGACACAAGAAAAAACAAATTAACATTAACTGTAGGCATGCTAACAAGTGTTTCGATTTCAACTTAGGTAGTTATTTGTTTCGAGACCAAGGTAAGGGAGCTATTCTCCTATTCATTCAGAACCAATTCGCATTTTAGCACTCTCTTTCATCATAATTTCCGTGTTGTGATGACAGCTATTGATTGAGTATAGATAAGTATGTTAAGTTACTAGGCTGCAGGTCAGAGGCAAAGAGGAATTCCATGAAGGGAAGCCATTTCTTTGCAAAATTGGACTGTTTGGGGTAGATTTCTGAACGACGAATGCGATCTGTTATCTTCTCCAAGATTAAGTGGTCCCACACTTTATTCAACCAGCAGGATCATCATCTCGCCTTTCTGGCCCCTCATTCGCTGGCAGGTGTGAAGCAGGCAGGAGATTCTACATCCTGGCTCTGCTTGGGGAGATTACTGGTGGTGGTGGAAAGTGCCATCAAGTCACAGCTGACGTATAGCGACCCCATGGGGTTTTCAAGGCAAGAGTCGTTCAGTGGTGGCTTGTCATTGCCTGACTCCACGTCACGATCCAGGTATTCCTTGGTGGTCTCCCAGCCAAATACTGGCTAGGGCTGACCCTGCTTAGCCTCTGAGATCTGATGAGACTGAGCTAGCCTGAGCCACCCGGGTCAGGGCACTGGGGAGATTACTAGAAGAAGAAGAAGAAGAAGAAGAAGAAGAAGAAGAAGAAGAAGAAGAAGAAGAAGAAGAGAATGGATTTATACCCCGCCCTTCACTACCCAAAGGTGTCTCAGAGCGGCTTACAAACTCCTTTCCCTTCCCCTCCCCACAACAAACACCCTGTGAGGTAGGTGGGGCTGAGAGAACTCTTGACAGAAACTGCTCTTTTTCAAGAACAGCTGTGCCAGAGCTACGGCTTGCCCAAGGTCATCCAGCCAGGTGCAAGTGGAGGAGTGGGGAATCAAACCCGGTTCTCCCAGATTAGAGTCCGCGCACTTAACCATTACACCAAACTGGCTCTCTCTACACCAATGTACGTAACACATTGCAGAATGAGAGATCTTGGCCTAAGGCGCGTGTAAGATAAATGTGGGCAGCTGGGGATAAAATGAGGAAAAAAGAGACCGTGGTAGTGAGGGCAGTGTGTAGTAGTGGCTGGAGGAGACCAGGGCTGAAATCCCTACTCAGCCATGAAAGCTCACTTGAGCCAGTCACTTCTTTTTAGACTAAATACAACAACCGAATGTAGCAAGGAATGAATCTGAGCAACTGTAGTTATATACTCAGGCTTTGGTTCAGTTGCAGCCTGAAAGAAAAATCGACTGTAATGGAAAGAGATCTGAGGTAGGATTTGAAGGGAGAAATCACAGCACCAACCAGGCACTGAAAGCGGGCACACCGCTGCGATGGGCCCTGTTCCCTCCCAATGACCCGCACGCACCTCTTTAAGATACTCCGTGTGGTGCTTGGTGGCCACAAACACAATGGTCTGATCCTGGGGTCTTACTACAGTCCTGAGTAGATACAATAGGAGTGCTGGCTTGTCATCCGCACGGACATGGAAGAAGGAGAGCTGGAGATAAAGAGGAGTAGAAATTGATTCAGTGACAGCCAGGCACTGTACAGAACGCCGAGGCCAAAGGGCCTTCCCACCCAAAAAGGTTTAATACACGATTTCGTTCTCTTAAGAGCATGTCTTTACACAACCAGGTGAGAAAGACGCAGATGAGCTACAACAAATACAATCAAGCAATGGATTTAAATAAGGCAGATGTGCGCTTAAACGCCCACAATCCTCTGCAATCCACACAAACTGGCCTACTGCAAGGCTCGCTCTGCCACTGGAAAGGCAAGCTGCAAAAACGGGAAGAACCTGTGGCAGTCTGCCAAGGCACATCCCTGCGGCAGTAGGATACTTGAATTGGGCAGGTGCCGACACCACCCATTTCCCACACTATTCGGCTGAAAACAAACAAAAAAGAGAGAGAGAAAAAAAAGAAGAGAGAAAATGCTTAACTGAAAAGAGAGGGCTGTCCCGTAAGCGACCTCCCTTCTGTACCCTGTGCTATCCAGGGAGTCCCAACAGTCTGTCCAGAGCTGGGGCAGGACAGGCCTCCCCCCCATGAGCGAAGGTTAACCAGTGTGGGTGTCATGATTAGGGTGTCGGACTAGGACTTGGGAGAAGAGAGCTCAAATCCCCACTCAAACCATCCCACCGGGAGAAATGGGCCACAAACCTTCTTTCTCACCCTCGCTTACCTCACAGGGTTTGGAAAGGGCTGGGATCCACTGCTAATGGCACAGACAGACGGGGTTCCCCTCCACGGAGCATCGCTTCCTTGCCTCTTCCTCTAGTTGCAGCCTAAAATCCTTCCCCCTCCCCAAAAAACTACTGCTGTCTGGGTACAGGGAACTCCCCCCCACACACACAAGAGAAGCACAGGGAGGTAGACAGGGCTTTTTTGGTAGAAAAAGCCCAGCAGGAACTCATTAGCATAATAGGCCCCACCCAACAGCAGAAACTCATTAGCATATGAGGCCACACCCCCATGTTACCAGAAGTGTGCTCATCCAGCCACACCCACCCTTTGCTTCTTATTCTGTTTACCTTGTTTGTTGTCAAAACCCAGGGCTTTTTTTGTAGCAGGAACTCCTTTGCATGTTAGGCCACACACCCCTAATGTAGCCAATCCTAATGAGTTTCTGTTGTTGGGTGTGGCCTATTATGCTAATGAGTCCCTGCTGGGCGTGGCCAACTTGGAAGCCAACCGGAACTCCGTTCCTGTGCGTTCCTGCCCAAAAATAGCCCTGGAGGTAGATCAAGATGGGTAGCGGTGGTAGTCTGTCTGTAGCCGTAGAAAAGAGTAAGAGTCCAGTCACACCTTAAAGACTAACAAATTTTGCGGTGGGGTAGGAGCTTTCACGAGTCACTGCTCACTTCTTCAGATACAACACGCTGCTGTATCTGAAGCAGTGAGCAGTGACTCACGAACGCTCATACCCCACCGCAAAGTTTGTTAGTCTTTAAGGTGCTACTGGACTCCGACTCTTTTCTGAAACACGGGGAGGGGAGTTGCAGCTTTGCAGCAGAACAAGCAAAATCAGCAAAAATTATGCCCCATCCCTTCTGCCCACAGAAATCCTCCACTGGATCCCAGCCATTGGTAACATGCATGAGGCTCCTCAGAGGATGGGTGGGGTAAAAATACAGAAATCCCCCCCCACACACACCTTTCAAAACAACTGCTGAACAGCAGCAACAAACAACTGGCATTGCAATAAGTGACCCAACACACACA